TTCCTCATATATACATATTTTTGGCTATAGATACACTTTAATTAGGGATGTCCAGATACCAGTGCAGATACCAGTGCCGATACTTGGCATTTTCATGAGAACTACCAGGGGAGCAGCGGTTGCAGCTGGGACCTGGCTCTGGCACTCCACCACTGTCCTGAAATCATTAGTCTGTATTGTTTTATAAAAACTGTCACATGGCAATAAACAACAATATATCAGTACTTGTATCTGTGAGGACTTGGACAAGTATCAATACTTGTACTTGGAAACATTGTATCAGTGCATCCCTTATATATATTTATTTAAAAAAAATATGCATTAAAATGGGGATGTACAAATCCCAGGAGCTCTGTATGCTCCTTAAAAATGACAGTTGCCTCCTAACTTTTGAATTTTTCTCTAGTCTAGTCCTGGAGCTGGAAAAGTATCTGTACTTGTACTTCTACCGAGTACGGTACTTGGTATCTGAACATCCCTAACTTTAATGTACACTGAGTGGCCAGTTTATTATGACCACCTGACGTTTGTAGGCAAATTAGCTATAATTTTGCGCGGAAGTTGCTAGAGGGCCAGACCATTATAAATAGGGAAGCAGGTTGTTTACCACGACAGTAGAAGTGATTTCTTGCTGAAGATATGGGTAATCAACGTGATTTAACAGCCTTTGAACGTGGGATGATTGTTGGCGCTCGGAGCCATGGAGCGAGTATCAGCAAAACAGCAGCATTCGTTAAATGTTCAAGAGCAGCTGTTGTTAAAGTGTTTAAAGACTGGACTGTCAGCTGAAAATCTGGGTCTGAACGTGCGAATTGTGGCTGTCAGTGACTAGTCAATGTTAGGGCAGAACGGAGAGTGGCAAGACTGGTACAAGACAACAGAAGGGCAACAGTGCAGTGTCAGATTCCTCGCATCACCTTTCAACATCTCGTGGAGTCACGAGGCGGCCCAGCGAAGTCATCTCGTGGAGTTATCTTGTGGCCCAACGAAGTACTGATGGGGTGGTCATAATAATCTGGCCACTCAGTGTAAAGTGTTGTGAAGTCAATAGCATATGATTAATGTAAATAAATAGTATGGTAGATCTAGGAGTGTTATATGCTCTTGTTGGGTATGTTGTGTACAATTCCGTAGTGTGTGTCTTGTTCCGCCCACATCACTTCCTTAATTTGCACTACCTCCATAGTGAGTAGACTGTAGTGAGAGGAAGTGACCTCAGCTTCTCTTTAAAAACTTGAAGTGTATAGTGTGTTAAGGCAAAAGTAAATAAATAAAAAAATGTTCAGTACATTTTTCCAATTCATGCACTTTTCCACATGTATATTTTTGTTTTAAAATGTTGCAGTACAGACAAATACCTGTAATCTGCCAAAATATTTAGTGTGCCCTTCACCTTGGAGTTTCCAACCAGCATTGTTGGCCTTGCCAATTGTCCTCTGACAATAGATGCAGTGCACATTTCTCCTCTGACCATCAATGGAACGGGCCATTTCTCCTCTGACCATCAATGGAAGAAGGCATGTCTCCTCTGACCATCAATGGAAGAAGGCATATCTCCTGTGACCATCAATGGAAGAAGGCATGTCTCCTGTGACCATCGATGAAAGGAGGCATTTCTCCTGTGACCATCAATGGAAGAAGGCATGTCTCCTGTGACCATCAATGGAAGAAGGCCTCTCTCCTGTGACCATCAATGGAAGAAGGCCTCTCTCCTGTGACCATCAATGGAAGAAGGCCTCTCTCCTGTGACCATCAATGGAAGAAGGCCTCTCTCCTGTGACCATCAATGGAAGAAGGCCTCTCTCCTGTGACCATCAATGGAAGAAGGCCTCTCTCCTGTGACCATCAATGGAAGAAGGCCTCTCTCCTGTGACCATCAATGGAAGAAGGCATGTCTCCTGTGACCATCAATGGAAGAAGGCATGTCTCCTATGACCATCAATGGAAGAAGGCATGTCTCCTGTGACCATCAATGGAAGAAGGCCTCTCTCCTGTGAACATCAATGGAAGAAGGCATGTCTCCTGTGACCATCAATGGAAGAAGGCATGTCTCCTGTGACCATCAATGGAAGGAGGCATTTCTTCTCTGACCATCAATGGAAAAGGGCACCTCCTCCACCAACCAATGATGTAAGAGGGAATTTCTCCCCTGACCACCAAGGTAAAACTATGTTACAATTTTCACTGTCTGCATTTCTTTTTTGACCGTTATTATTTGTTTTACTTTGACTATCACTGAAAGTATTGTTTTGTTTAGAGCAAGAAAGTGTTAATAAATGATACACTCTGGGTATTAAATTTGCTAATATGCCACTTTTTTATTATTATAGCTACCATTTGCCTATCATGCTAACATACCATATACTGTAATAATTAAACATTTCAGTTAAGGTTCCTAGACACCTGAAAATTAATTTGAGGGTTTGTAAATGTTTATGAAACGCAGAGACAGACAGGCAAATACAGTGATTTGTAAGGGCATTAGGCCATGTGTTTGCATATTAACTGCTCTCCTATTGCAATTACTAATGGTTAATTTTCTTTCTTAAGCAGCCATAGCTGCAGAGTAGAGAGTAGAGAAACCTGTCCACTACCAGCAGCTGCGGAGTGGGACCTTTGCTCTCTGTGTGGAAGCAGTGGTCCCTCTGAAGAGCTCAGACAAAACCCCCTACCTACTGAGTCAGTCCTATAGCTCTGCAATCAGTAAATATTATTGGAGTGCTATGGCTCTGACTTAGCAGTGGGTATGTTGGATCGCTACAGAGTGATCACTGATTCCACACAGAGAGCAAGGGTCCCACTCTGCAGCTGTCGTACAATTTTTTTTAATGCACCTGCAATGTATTTAACTGATTGAGGGCCCTTTCACACTTGTGCATTGTGGCAATGTTAAGTTAAGACATGGCAAAGCACCTGCTCTATGTGCAGCACGTTTTGGTGCCATTCATTGTGCATTATACAGTACAGCACAATGCACAAATACTGTGCATTGTGGTGTGCTGCTTTGGAAAAAAAAGGGTCATGTACATTTTTCATCCCTTGTGGTTCATTGGCAGCCCATTTAAACTGAATGTGCTCCCTTAACACAATGCAAGGTAACACGTGCCATTAATTGCTTTAATCCGTGTGCGTTAACGCACCAAAATAAAAAGCTAAAGTGTAAATGGGCCCTGAAGCTGAAAGTTCATTTAAGCTTTAAGGGAATAGAACATGGGGAAATGTGCATGTGTTGTAAAGCTGCATTGCATATGTTTTTTCTGTGCCTGGACCTGTGTGTTGAAATGTAAATAACAAGGACATACGCATACAGATATTTGTGCAACACACAACATGAAAAGTGGAATCAGGGTCAGCTAGTATGGAGGTATAATCAGCGTTCCATTAGCTCAATTTCACATCAATGGTCCTTTGGACATACCCACCATGCTTACAAATTGTCAACAGCATGGCATCTTGACAGATTCCTTTTTAAAGCACAACTGAAAGCAAATATCTAAATACAGAGTCATGTGTATTCTTACTTGAATCTTGGTGAGCTGTGTGGATTTCTTCCAGATCAGTACAGTAATTTTGCCTCTCTACAGAGCTTCCTGTAATAAAGACCAGTCACTGCTGCTCTCTCTCCTTGTGCAGGGTGACTGGTCTGTTCTCCACCCCCTCCTGTAGTTTTCTGCAAGTGTTCTGTCAAACGCTCCAACTCGTCGAGATCTACAACCATTGACGTCACGTCCGGTGACTTGCCAGTAAGAGCTTGAGACAAGATAGTTCTAGTATGTGTGCACCAGCCGTACCAGTGTAAGAATCCTTGTCAAATTCTCAAACTCCTCTCACTGCGCCTGCGCGGCTTCACAATTCCTGTCGAGTTCTCCAACCGACGTAAGTGTGCCTGCGCAGCCACCCAAGACTCGGAATATCAGCTATTATAAAATCATTGCAAACCAAAGGCAGCCAATCAGAGAGCATCTTGTGCTAACCGATTACATAGTGTGACATCGGGTGGGCGCACAGATGCAGTAACGCTAATTGGGTAGCTGTTGGGTAGCCGCGCAGATGCACTGACGGGGTTGGAGAACTCGACAGGGATTGTGAAGCCGCGCAGGGAGGGAGGTTCGAGAATTTGACAAGGATTCTTACATTGGCACAGCTGGCTCATGCGCACTAGCCTCATCTGGTCTCAATCTCCTACTGGCAAATCACTGGACGTGACGTCACCAGTTGGAGATGTTGACGAGTTGGAGCAATTCGACAGGACACCGGCAGCCTGTAGTGGGTGGACGTGCTAGGCCCCTCCCACACATTTGCTTTCGGCAAAGGCTATGTACAGCACAGTGATGAGGTCACTGCTACTTTTACAAGATGATATCTGGGTTTACAAAGACATTTGGTGCACACAAAGATGAGTATAATATCTGTTATCTATTGAGGAATATATTAATTGAAAAATGTTGTGCCTGGAGTTCAGCGCTAAACCACATAAAAGGCAGAGTCTACAATACACCCAGTGCTGGCTAAGTACCTCTTGGCAATTTATATGTATCGTCTATAACTCCTAATTGGGTGTACAATATGAAAAGTTAAATCTTTGTAAGGCTCACAATGCACATTACAATCCAAATATAACCTCTCAAAATCACCTACAATCTCTGTACAATCAGATTTAGATCTACCAAAACTATGTAATATGAGGACCTTCCTAAACTAAGCAATCAATTTGTATCCAATGAAGCAGGCCCCGGGCAGAATAAAACTTAACCCTTGCAGTGGGGCAATTTGTATCCAATCAGGTAGACATTTGCACTACATAGTTGTCGAAGGATAGAAATATGATTGTACTCTGTAAAGTATGTTAACGGCTATAAATACTGTTTGAAAAGTAGCCCCCAGATCAACTCATGGTAGTCATGTCAACTCTATAGCATGTCATGAAAAAGATGTTTTCCGGAAGAAATGCTGCTGGTTCCACCCAACTATTACACACATCCATCATAGTCACATCATACCTTAACACTTCTCCTAGACAGGTTCTCCTTAGCTGTAAAGAAGTAATCCTCAATGTCCTCCTCCAGACTACAGTAGCCACTGCTCATACTTCCACTGACCATCATATGTCACCTTTGATATTGTAATCCAGGATAGCGCACAGGACAGATCATACAAAAATGAGCCTTTGCTCCTTCCACTTTCCTGTCTTGTCCCTACATCTTCTACCAGTCGTATGATCTATGACTGGCACATGAATGGCACTGTTCTGCCCATTACTGTTGTCCGATCCAAGCTCCCAGTCTGCAGCAGCGATCATACAGTTCTGTGCTTCTCTGCCTCCGCTCTCCAACCCCTCCCTTTACACTCTGTATTTCGGTTAAACCACTTCCCCTGGCTGTCTGTGTCATGCAGCGATTTTCTACTAGGTAGCTTAAATATGTCTCATACACAACCAGAGAAAAAAGGTTGAGGCTAAAAAGTGCCTGTGTGATCAGACTTTATGAGAGAGGGCAAGATTTACCTTCTTTGGTTTTCCTGCCTTTATTTTTTTGTTTTCAGAGTTCTTGTTCCTGCACTTAAATGCTAAATCTCATGTATTATGTATATACAGTGTATATATGTGTATGTGTGTGTATATATATATATATATACTGTATATACACACCAGTCAGCCATTACAATTATAATCAGACATTACAATGTCACCTGCAAGATATATTAGGCAGCAAGGGAACATTTTGTTCCTGAAGTTGATGTGTTGAAAGCAGAAAAAATGGGCAAGTGTAAGGGTTTGAGTAAGGGCCAAATTGTGATGGATAGACAAGGGTCAGGGCAGCTCTTGTGGGATGTTTCCAGTCTACAGTGGCCAGGACCTACCAAAAGTGGTCCAAGGAAGGAAAACCAGTGAACTGGTGACAGGGTCATAGGTGGCATTAATGCATGTGGAGAGCAAATGCTGCCCCGTGATTCAATGGAAGAGCTACTGCAGCTCAAATTGCTGAAATAGTTAATGATGGTTCCGATAAAAAGGTAACTGAACACACAGTGCATTGCAGTTTGTTGTGTATGGGGCTGCGTAGCTGCAGTCATGGTGCCCATTCTGACCCATGTCCACCACCAAAAGCACCTACAATGGGCACGTGAGCATCAAAACTGGACCACAGAGCAATGGTGGACCAATGGACCATGGTTGCCTGGTCTGATGAATCATGTTTTCTTTTACATCATGTGGATGGCTGGGTGCATGTGTGTTGCACATCTGGGGAAGAGATGGCACCAAGATGCACTATGGGAGTAAGGCAAGTTGGTGGACACAGTGTAATGCTATGGGCAATGTTCTGCTGGGAAACCATGGATCCTGTACTTCATGTGGGTGTTACTTTGCCATGTACCACCTATCCTAAACATTGTTGCTGACCAAGTACATCACGTCATGGAAATTATATTCTCTGATGGCATTGGTCTCTACCAGCAGGTTAATGTGCCCTGCCACAATGCAAAAATGGTTCAAGAATGGTTTGAAGAATACAATAAGGAGTTTGAGGTCTTGACTTCAAATGGCCTCCGAATTCTCTAGATCTTAATCCAATCGAGCATATATGGGATGTGCTGGAAAAACAAATCCGATCCATGGAGGCACCACCTTGCAACTTAGAGGACATAAAGGATCTGCTACTGATGGCTTGGTGACGGATATCATAGCATACCTTCAGAGGTCTAGTGGAGTCCATGTCTCAACGGGTCACGGCTGTTTTGGTGACAAAAGGGGGACCTACTCAATATTAGGTGGGTGGTCATAATATTATGGCTGATCGGTATATATTGGGCTGTCAGTGTTACAACCAATCCTGCTGTGACTGCTGATCTTCAGATTACACCTGGAGAGCTGCTCTCCTCCTGGTGTGATTTGTGGCGCTAAGATTTGTGGCGCTAAGAAGCACTGATTTATGGCCCTCAGGAGCACTGACAGTAGAAAAATCTCTTGCGCCATGGCGTAACTTTACCCATAACAGCCCATGCAGATGATATGAGGCCTAGAGGACATAGTTCCCAGTTGAGTTCTGAAAGGGTTTATAAAAATAACATTTAAACTGGACATACCCTGCTCAAATTTCAGTCGAATCCTGCTGACATGGCCAAAATTCACACAGTGTGTGGCCCTGTCAGCAACTCTCCGTTTAACAAAAGTCGATTTTTCAAATTACTTTTGTCAAAGGAACCGATTCAAAAAAATCTAGGCCATAAAGTGACTGCAGCCAATCAACTGCATTCACTATTGGGGTATTCTGACAGTGGCACATTCACTGCAGTCCAGCAGGGAGGTGGGATTTCCCTATCCACACTATTTAGCATGGACGGTGCAATCAAGCATTATTTTCGTATTCAGCCTGCATGGCTGAAAGAGCAAAAATGAACAGTGTATGGCCAATTTTACATTCTTATTTATTTATTGCCGTCTCCCCCCTCCACTGTAAAATGGTCTTTTAATTGCTTAATTTGAGAAAATAAGTACTATATTCTATGCATTGATCCACACACCCAAAAGAGATAAGCTTAAGTGTATAATATCAATTACATCAGTTTTAGTGAAATGGGGCCACAATTGCTAATAGTTATAAAAAGTGTTAATATATAAGCCACTGATCACCAACGTGGTAAGGGCTTATATCAGGCATAATATGGTAAAGGGGTTATATTAAGTCTGTAGTATAAACTGTTGGTCACCAGTGTTAAATGGAACTATCTATTTTCGGCTAGCAAGTAGGGGTGTTGCATCAACATTTTTGCTATGGAGTCTATTGATTGATAGTTACAACCTTGCTTGTGCCCTAGCTCTCCCCACTTACCCCACCTCACCACAGGGCCTGAGCCTACTTCTGCTTTTGCTCTGGCCATATTTAGTGACATTGTCACCAGATGGCCTGGGAGTTGATCAGGAATGGGAGATTTCTGCCTCCCATGAAGAGGGGGTTTCTATTTTAAACTCTCTAGAGGGTGATGAAGGGTAGTGCTGGAAGCAACATTGGTGGAACAACACCGAATCTTCCTCAACAGTGAGGGAGTAATACGGTTGAATATGGTGAGTTTCTTTTCCCCACTCTAAAAGACCTGTTGGTGGTAAGCAACCACAAGTGCGAGGATCTTTAGTGTGTCATTGGCCTGAATTTGGATATTATGAACATATCCCCTGTGTAAAAACATACTTTATATGTTATGATTTTTTAACAAAAAAAAAGTGGGTTATGAAGCCCTTGGCTAGTAGACTGGCATTTGTGTGTGCTCTGCAGAAAGCAAAATCCTCACATTTGGTGAAGAATGTGGCCAGTCTGATCCTAAGGACAGTAAACTGTCATGTTCTGATTTGTCCTAGCAAGATTTAAAGACATAATACTTTTTTGAGCTCCAATGTGAACGTGGAGTGTCTGCAGCATTAAAATGATAATGATAAAATCATTGTTGTAGTCTACTAATACACAACAGGATGCCAACCTAGCCCAGAAAGGGACTTATGCCAAACATCAGCAAAGTGTTGCTAACCAGCAAGAGGCAAATATACTACTGGGGCAATCCATGAGTGCTTAGAAGGCACTGTTGGGTAGAACTGAGAGATCAGCAAACTCGCACTGATGTGATACAGCTGCCCAGAACCAGGAGGTGTCTGCTATCATTCATAGCAACCAAGGTTCAATTCAAGCAATTTCTGAAAATGACATCCCATAATGATGTTTAGGCCTACCATATGTACCTTCCAGTGGATTGCAAAATGGGAACCATGGCGCATAGTGCAATGGGCAGGGCTTGTAGTGCCTTTCTCTCTTCTGACACAACAATGTTCTCGTAACATGAGAAACCAAAATGAGAGATACAGTGAGCTTACAGAGAATCATTGACTGTGGCCTTAGTGTTCTGGACAGCACTGACAGGAAAATTGTGACAGGAAATGGAGCAAGTACATTGCTGGCGATGTAGTGAGCATGGACATCCTGCCACTAGATTACCTTGAATGCTATAGAATATGACACTAACATGCCTTTGTATTTGCTTGAGATGCTGATTTGCCAATCAGTGTTGTAAAGCTCAAGGTATATTCCTCAAGGAAAGTTAACTAAGTGTCAAAGACTGATGTTTATACTGTGACAAAGATAAATTGATTGAGAAACCGGACCCTGCAAGATATATTACCACCTTTGACCTTTTTGGAGGATATAGGCAGGTTCCTGTGACCCTGGTGTTTTCTACACTGTTTCTGAAGGCCTTTAGTTCTCTAGGTATGGTTCAGAGAAAGATGGACAATATACTTAAGCTCCATCAGATTTTCACAGCTGTTTATCTTTAGCTGCAACTGGGAAAGTAAACCAGGGTGCAGACAAGTCAAATTCCACCCAGAAGGCAGGCATCAACAATTCCGGAAGTGAATTTCCTTGGGTAAACCATAGGGCCAGGTGTAATAAAACCTCACAATCAAGGGATTTGCCTCAGTTGCAAACGTGTGCATTTTTGACTTTGGCAAGCTTGTCTATAATCCCTAGCATGACCCAGGAAATAACTTGCCCACTTCATAAAGGAGCCAACTAACAGCGATATAGTGTATGGGACATATTTACACAGTACGTTTCCACAGAAGCCAACAATTTGTTGAAATATTAAAGTATATGTGAACCTTAATTTACATAGTCGGGGATTCCTGTCCTTTGTCTCGAACAATGAACTTAGTAATCCGTCCTCAGTTTGCGTATGTGGTTTCTACTTTGGAGTTACATGCTTGATGTGCCTCTATTCCCATGGTCAGACTTAAGCGGTCACACCACACTTCCCTGCCCAGCCATGCACAGTTGAGTGACAGTATCTTTGATATGTGACATCAGTAGAAGGTGTCCTTCTCCAGGAGCTTCCAACCCTACTCCCTGGAGCTAAGAATGCAGCTCCTACTTAGCAGTTATGTGACTGGTGCTAAACCTGGGGGAAAAAAGGTATCTATAAAGTTAACAAAATATTTTTTGTCTTAGATTTGTATTCTGCATACTTCTGATGTTTTAAGATAGATAATAAGACAGATAATACTTCACTGCTGTCTGAAAACCTTTCCAGGCTGTTTAGCAATGTCATCCTGTTTGGTAAACAATCTGACAATCAGTTGAAACTTTGAGTTTCACTGATGTCTTTGAAAAACTGTGTATATTAATATGTATACAGACTTTAATAAAATATAGCAGATTCACTCACCAACAGTGTAACCATGTATCTTGTATAAGATATACCTGTGCAACTTCTCAAGATGTTCCACAGAACTCTGGCTCAATCTAAATTCCACTAGCTAAGGAAACAATGACCAGTAATTTGATGA